TCCTAAGTAGATGGAACCACAGGCATGCGCCACCATGCCCAGCTTTTTTTTTAATTTTTATTTTTAGTAGAGATGGGATTTCACCATGTTGGCCAGGCTGGTCTTGAACTCCTGCCCTCAGTGCCGGGATTATAGGCCACCACACCCAGCCTTGGGTGTTATATTTGTTTCAGAGATGAGGAAACTGAGGAAAACATGAATTAGCCAGGCTGAGATTCAAACCCAGGCCTTACTGACTCTAGGGCCCGGGCTTTAACCACTAGAGATGATGACCAGCTCTGAGTCAACGGGAAAAAATTCAAGTGAAAAACTCTCCTGAAAGCCTGACAGACACAAGGGTTAACAGTCTTGTGGAGTCCTTGTTTAAAGAACTTAAACAGCAGATTCCTCCCAGAAGCCACATGGCTGCTTGTAACAGTTGAGAAATCCATTAGCCAGTTATTAATGACAAGGGAGAGAGCCAAGAAATGCTTTTAATACCCTCTTTTCTGAGGTAATGGCAGCAGAGCCTCTCTCAACCACGGGTTCTGTGCACAGAATGGCGGTGTGGTCCTTCAAAAACCCACGGAGGCAATTTCATCCCCAGATTGGGACTCCCTAGAAACACCCCAAGCCACACCCTCATCAGACACAAGAAAATCACTTCTCTCTCTCCTTTCCACCATGACACTTCCAGCCTCCCCCAGGGAGGGAGTTCCCTAGACAGTAGCACAACCCAATTCAGACCCCTGTCCCTGCAGGTGGCAGGTCCCCTCCCTCACTGCAGCCTCTGGTGATACATGATCTCACCAGTCATCTGACACTGCACCCCGAAACCTCAGCTGTTGGAAAGGTCATTCCCCTATTCCTGGCTTGGCCAAGTTTCTGATTGAATTGTACAACTGTGACTGTCACTGCCTCTGGCCTCAAGGAGCCAGTCTTCTGTCACACAGCCATCCTGGGCGTGTCCCACTTCAGCCTTGGCCTGACTCCAGCCATGCCTAAGGCAGCTGCAGGCCATCCTGTCCTAGGGCTGGACAGCAGTGCGCTGGATAGACCAGTTCTTCCCATCTCTAAGGACATGCTGTTCCTATTCCCCACAAGACAGTCCTTGTTTCCCCCAGGAGCTGAGAAGCCCTCTTCTTCTTTGCCTAAAGAGGACAAATGATATGCTTAGATTCATCCATTCATTCAGCATTCATCTGTATCTCAGATGCCTGCTGAGCACAAGTCCCATGCTAACTCAGTGGAGAACACGGGATGACCTGCCCCTCTCCTGGCCCACCCTAAGAGAGGCTGATGTTCCTGGCACTGGGAGGCAGAGGGCTTGATAGGGATCACAGGCAGGACTGTCCATCCCCATCCCAGCTCCATTCCCATCACTTACCTCTCTGTCTGTGCCTCCATTTCCTTTTTTTTTTTTTTGAGCCGAAGTTTCACTCTTGTTACCCAGGCTGGAGTGCAATGGCGTGATCTCGGCTCACTGCAACCTCCACCCCCTGGATTCAAGCAATTCTCCTGCCTCAGCCTCCCGAGTAGCTGAGACTACAGGCACGCGCCACCATGCCCAGCTAATTTTTGTATTTTTAGTAGAGACGGGGTTTCACCATGTTGACCAGGATGGTCTCGATCTCTTGACCTTGTGATCCACCCACCTTGGCCTCCCAAAGTGCTGGGATTATAGGCATGAGCCACTGTGCCCAGACTTTTTTTTTTTTTTCTTTGAGGCAGAGTCTTGTTCTGTTGCTCAGGCTGGAGTGCAGTGGTGCGATCTCGGCTCACTGCAACCTCTCCTTCTCGGGCACAAGTGATTCTCCTGCCTCAGGCTCCTAAGTAGCTGGGATTACAAATGTGTGCCACCATGCCCAGCTAACTTTTGTATTTTTAGTAGAGATGGAGTTTTGCCATTTTGGCCAGGCTGGTCTCAAACTCCTGACCTGAAGTGATCTGCCTGCCCTGGCCTCCTAAGGTGCTGGCATGAGCCACCGTGCCCAGCCATCCATTTTCTCTTTTGTAAGAGATTACTCAGGATTCTGATAATTAAAAGAGATATAACTGTTTTGAAAACATTAAATTGGGTGCAGTGGCTTACGCCTATAATCCCAGCATTTTGGGAGACCAAAACGGGTTTAGCCCAGGAGTTTGAGACCAGCCTGGGCAACATGGTGAAATCCCGTCTCTACAAAAAAACAGAAAAAATGGCGTAGGCACGGTGGCTCACACCTGTAATCCCAGCACTTTGGGAGGTTGAGGTGGGCGGATCACCTGAGGTTAGGAGTTGGAGACCAGCCTGGTCAACATGGTCAAACCCTACTAAAAATACAAAAATTAGCCAGGTGTGGTGGCTCATGCCTGGAGTCCTAGCTACTCGGGAGGCTGAGGCATGAGAATCTCGTTTGATCCCAGGAGGCGGAGGTTGCAGTGAGCAGAGATCATGCCACTGCACTCCAGCCTGGGTGACAGAACAAAACTCCTGTCTAAAAAAATAAAAATAAATTAATCGTGTATAGTGGTACACGCCTATAGTCCCAACTATTCGGGAGGCTGAGGTAAGATCAATCTGGCCTGGGAGGTGGAGGCTGCAGTGAGATATGATAAGGCCACTCACTGCACTCCAGCCTGGGCAACAGAACAAGACTTTGTCTCAAAAAAAAAAAAAAATGGAGATTTTTTAAAATTTAAAAATATGGCCGGGTGTGGTGGCTCACGCCTGTAATCCCAGTACTCTAGGAGGCCAACGCAGACAGATCACCTGAGGTTGAGAGTTAGAGACCAGCCTGACCAACATGGAGAAAACCCTCTACTAAAAAACAAAATTAGCCAGGTTTTGTGGCACATGCCTGTAATCCCAGCTACTCGGGAGGCTGAGGCAGGAGAATCGCTTGAACCCAGGAGTCGGAGGTTGCAGTGAGCCGAGATCGAGCCATTGAACTCCAGCCTGGGCAACAAGAGCGAAATTTCATCTCAAAAAGAAAAAAAAAATGGCCAGGCACAGTGGCTTATACCTGTAATCCCTACACTTTGGGAGGCCAAGGTGGGTCGATCACCCAAGGTCTGGAGTTTGAGACCAGCCTGTCCAACATAGTGAAACCCCATCTCTACTAAAAATACAAAAAGTAGCTAGGCATGGTGGCTTACACCTGTAGTTCCAGCTGCTTGGGAGGCTGAGGCAGAAGAATTACTTGAACCAGGAGGCACAGGCTGCAGTGAGCTAAGATTGCACCACTGGGCTCCAGCCTGGGCAAGAGAGTGAGACCCTGTTTCAAAAAAAAAAAAAAAAAATTAAAAATATGTGAATTGCCAATTTCAAAGAAACCTAGAAAGATTTTTAAAATCATTCATGAATGTTGTCTGTGCCTTGCACAGAGTAGAAGCTCGAAAATGGCGAATGAGACTCTAGTTTGGTCTCATGCGAAGGAGTCCATAAAGCCCACAAGTCATTTTCATGATGGACAGAAAAACGTGTGCTTTCTCTGTCTACTGACTCAGCTGCACAGGCCACGGGACTGTAGCAGAACCATCTTTTCAGCTGGACTTCAGGAGGCCCAAATTCTAGCACGGGACCCAGGGCCAGTTGCTCTCTGGTCCCGTGCTCTCAGTCTCCTCACCCATAAAATGGGAAAGGGAGAACCCCCGAATTATTGCTTCTAGCTCCTGAGCTCAGTTGTTTAGAACAAGGACGCACTGCTGATTTTTCAACAGCACAGGCAATTGCTGTTCCTGGGAATGATGGACCGTACCCTCTGTTCTACTGGGCAAGTGGGACTTCCCAGGCCTCTCTGTTCCCTTCTCTCCTTAGAGAGCAACAGACTTGGCCCCATCCCACTTCCCTCATACCCCTCTCTCTCATCCCTCAGGACTGGGCACCTCACTGCCCCCGCTGCTGCCCACTCTGCGACTGTGCCTGTACATGCCAGCTTCCCGACTGCCAGAGCCTCAACTGTCTCTGCTTCGAGATCAAGCTCCGATGAGGATCCAGTGTCCTGCCCTCTGGGGAGCGGCCAGCCCCCAGGGCCCATGTGCCCTCCTCCTTGAGGGGCCTCAGGACACTTTTCTCCAGGCTGCTGGAACCACAAATGGCCTGCCCAGCACCCAAGCCTGGGAACTGGAAGTGGCTGTGCAGGGCCTGGCTCCCTGCAGGGCAGGACTCTTGGCCGGCTGCATGGCACCTCCTCTGGATGGCCAGAGAGGGGCTAGTGCTCCAGCAGGTGCCCTGGCTCCCCTTCTCCTACCCAAGTGAACGATTTTAAGGTGGGCAGGGGAGTGGCGCTGCTCACCACACAGTGTTATAGGAGGAGCCTGGGCCTTGAGTACCGAGTACTCAGGGGTGCCACAACCACACTCCATCCATGGACTGTTATTTTAGGAGGTGAGTGTAGTGCCAGTATCTGCTCTCCTTTAAAAAAAAAAAAAACCCAAGGCTCCAGAGAATCACTACAGCCACCGTCACTGCAGGGAGTCGGGAGGAGGGAGATTAGAGAAGGAGCCAGGGAGGCCACGTGATCCGAGTCCCCTTACCCCTTTCCCTTCGACAGATCCCTGGCCAGAGATTTATTTCTCTTGACAACCAAGGGCCTCTGTCTGGATTTCCAAGGAAGACATTTCCTTTGAAGCACCGGTGAGTGGGCAGGGGCTCCCTCGTCAATACGGCAGACAAGCCTTCCTCCCCCTTCCCCGAGGCCGGGCCCCACGCTGGTGTGAATGTCAGGAGCTTCAGGTTTCCCTAAATATAGGTTCCTGCCAGAGGATCCGTGGCGGGAAAAGGGCAGAGGTCATCGGAGAAGGTCGGGGACACTGGTGCCGGGCGGGCAGGAGCCGCCTTATAACCCAGCCCGGGCACCCCTGGCTCACTCGCTGCTGACCAGGCTCTGCCGGCTTCTTCAGTCTCGCCGCAGGTGGGCCCCTCGCAGGACTGGGCTGGGGTAGGGGTGGGGTTGGGCCGACAGGCTCTTGGTGAGTCCGGGTGAGGAGTGGAGACTTGGACGGTAGGAGTTGGGGGCTCAGAAAGCATCTGAGGCAGATCAGCTCGGGGATGGATTTTATTCTGGAGAAGGAAGTCAGGTCCAAGGAAGACGTTTGGCAGGGACTGTGGCCCTGCATGCCCGAGGCCGAGCAGCGGCCGGTACATGGCGGCGCAGGGTGTCCACCTGGCTACGACCGCCCGAGTGGAGAGAACGTGCGCATGCGCGATCCAGCCCGCCCCGCCTGCTGGGAGCCCGCACAGCGGAGGCCTAGCCTTCGTGCCGCGCCAGCCCCACCGCCCTGTCGCGCTTCCGCGTATTCTCTCGCCGCCCTTTCCTCCGCCTCCCTTACGCCTGGGCTAGTGACGGGTGACGGGGGATCGGCTCCGCGCCTTTCACGGCCCAGGCCGCAGGCGAGGCAGGCCGACTTGCGACCCGGTGGTGACACGCGCCGCAGCCGCGCAGGCTGGAAACTGGAGCTGCCCCGGGCCGCGGGCTGGGCCTGGGAGGCCCAGCCCAGCCTCCTCCTTTTCCGACTCTTCCATCTGCATCTCCCACCTTCCCGTCCCCCACTCCTCCGGTGCTGATATTCTGGCTACGATGCCCAAGAGCGCGCCAGGAGGGGGAGAAGGAGCGGAGGGGAGGGCCCTGGCGACCCGCGGGATGTGGCCCGAGTCACGTCCGAGGGGGGCGGGGGAGGAGTCGTGTTCTCACCGCCCGTCCTCTACCTAGCGCGGCCTCTGGGCTGCGCCTCTTGGGGGCGGCCCGTCGCCCACTCCCTCGCTTGCAATTGGACGCCTCCCGCTCCCTGCAGAGGAAAAAGCTCGGCGGAGGGCGGAGTGGTGCCTTTAAAAGGCCGAGCGCCGCCTTCCTCCTGCCCGCCCATTGCACCGCCCCCTCCGAGGCTGGTTCGGCTGCGTTCCTCTCGGAACGCGCCGCAGAAGGGGTCCTAGTGACGAGTGCGGCATTCGCTCCCAGAGTCCACTCGCCAGCCCGCCGTCCTCTGCCGCCAGATCCCGCACACTCGCCCCTCTCCTGTACCAGGTGAGCGCTCCTCTTCACGTGCGGGGACCAGGGACCGTGGAGAAGGATCTTGAGGGCAGTGGCGGGTTGGGCGTCCGCGTGGAGCCCCCCCTCACCCCATGCCAGCGTCTCCCCACTACTGGCCACATTCAGGCTCCTCGGCCCCTCCACCCTGAGGTCACCTAACTGCGCAATGCAGCCGCTGCACGCGCTGAGTCATGGCGGGGGAGGAAGCCAGACGAGATGGAGGACCATTCTCCTCCCCTTTTGTTGCAGGGACCCCTGTGGCAAAGGATTAGGGCCCCTTAGTCTCGGTGGGGATCCTAAGCGACAGTGAGGGGTGAGGGCAGGCCCGTGTACACCCCCAGGGTTCTCGCAAGCGGGAGGTTGGTTCCTGGCCTGCGGAACTCGGCGCCCCTCTCGAGGAGGGAAAACCCCTTGGTGGCGCTTGATGCCCGGCTAACACTTTCCGTCTTTCCTTATCGGGCGACCTTGATTCTGAGCCTGGAACAGCTACAGCCTTGGGAAGCGACAGGACATTTTTCTTGGAAAGGGATGGGGCTCTTGCCCCTCCGCCCGTAGGAAGTGACCACGGCAAAGATTACCGCTTTCCTCTCCTCGCCTCAGGCTAGGACTTGTTAGGCCCTTGCCTGAGCTTCTCCTTGCTCTCTTACCTTTCTCCTAATACCCCTTTCCTACCACCCGCCCCCTCCCTTGTGGGGAAAACCCTGACCTTGGGATGTCCTTGAAGGGTTGGAGCCCAGGCCAGCCCTGGGATCTTGGGTGGATTGGAAGGAACGCCCCAGTGGCAGTCAGGAGAGCTAGGTTAATCTCAGATCTGGCTCCGGGGTTGCTGTGTGGCTTGAGGCACAGACCTTTTCCTTATCTGGGCCCTTTCCCACGAGGGTGTTGGGCCCTCTGCTCGATTCACGACCTTTACATTCTAAAATACTCCGGTTCGGTTTTGTTTTCAGGCAAGGTGGCCCCATGGCAAGGCGCAAGCCAGAAGGGTCCAGCTTCAACATGACCCACCTATCCATGGCTATGGCCTTTTCCTTTCCCCCAGTTGCCAGTGAGCAACTCCACCCTCAGCTGGGCAACACCCAGCACCAGACAGAGTTAGGAAAGGTACAGGGGCAGGCCTAGCATAGGGAAGTCGGGCGTATGGGAGAGCTGGGAACCAGAGGTGCCCCCAGGGCCTACTGGGTGTGGGGCAGGGGAGGTAGGGGACATTTGCCCTGACCTCCAGGCGAGGGGCCCTGCTTATTGGGAGATCATGAGAAGGCCCAGCTAACCAATCCTCTCCCTGTTTCCTGTACCCAGGAACTTGCTACCACCAGCACCATGCCCTATCAATATCCAGCGCTGACCCCGGAGCAGAAGAAGGAGCTGTCTGACATCGCTCACCGCATCGTGGCCCCGGGCAAGGGCATCCTGGCTGCAGATGAGTCCACTGGTGCGGGCAGGAGACAGAATGGGTGGAGGGTGCAGGGTTGGGAGTGGCAGGCTGATCCCCTAATTCCCATGTGACACGTCCTCCCAGGGAGCATTGCCAAGCGGCTGCAGTCCATTGGCACTGAGAACACCGAGGAGAACCGGCGCTTCTATCGTCAGCTGCTGCTGACAGCTGATGACCGGGTGAACCCCTGCATCGGGGGTGTCATCCTCTTCCACGAGACACTCTACCAGAAGGCGGATGATGGGCGTCCCTTCCCCCAAGTTATCAAATCCAAGGGCGGTGTTGTGGGCATCAAGGTGAGGGGCAGGGCCTCAGGATGTGACGTTTGAGCTAGAGGTGAAGGAAGGAAATCCAGGTTAGTGAGGCAGGGGATGAATGCTGGGTTGGAGGCCTAGAAACTTGCAGGGATCCTGCTTCAGGCTTAGGGCATTTACTCGGCATTTTTAGTCCTCACATTTCTTTTTTTTGAGACAGAGTTTTGCTCTTGTTGCCTAGGCTGGAGTGCAGTGGGGCAGTCTCAGCTCACCGCAACCTCCATCTCCCAGATTCAAGCGATTCTCCTGCCTCAGCCTCCCCAGTAGCTGGGATCACAGGCATTCGTCACCACACCCGGCTAATTTTTCACTTTCAGTAGAGACAGAGTTTTTCCATGTTGGTCAGGCTGGTTTCGAACTCCTGACTTCAGTTGATCCTTCCACCTGAGCCACCCGAAGTGCTGAGATTACAGGCGTGAGCCGCTGCGCCCGCCCAATCCTCATGATTCTAAGAGAATAGTAGTATTCCTACTTTACAGATGAAAGTCTCAGAAGCTCAGGGAAGTGAAGTGTTTTGCTCTCAGAGTTAGTAAGTGGCAGAGCCCCAGTCTCCTGACATCAAATTCAGTGAGCATTTGTTGTCAAGTAACATCCCAGTGTATCCTGTCTCAGAGGATTGGTTACTGTAACTAAGCGAAAATATGTGCAAGCCCTGAGATGCAGTTTAAGAGATTAAGTACATGTGGGGGAAGATTGGGATTAAAGAGAAAAGGGGTACACGCGTATCCCCGCTACTTGGGAGGCTGAAGCGGGAGGATCACTTGAGCCCAGGAAGTGGAGACATCACTGAGCTGAGATCCCACCACTGTACTCCATCCTGGGCGACAGTGGAAAGGGTGCTAGAGGTCATTTCTTGTGTCTTAATGTTGTTCCCCCAAACCCCAACAGGTAGACAAGGGCGTGGTCCCCCTGGCAGGGACAAATGGTGAGACCACCACCCAAGGTGAGAACTGTTTGGCTGTCTATCCTGCAAACGCAACCTAAGCAGGTTTGGGTGCAGGGAGGAGTGGAAACCACATGTCCCTCCCCACTGCGCTTTGACTCCTCCATCTTCTCCTAGGGCTGGATGGGCTGTCTGAGCGCTGTGCCCAGTACAAGAAGGATGGCGCTGACTTCGCCAAGTGGCGTTGTGTGCTGAAGATTGGGGAGCATACCCCCTCAGCCCTTGCCATCATGGAAAATGCCAACGTCCTGGCCCGTTATGCCAGCATCTGTCAGCAGGTGGGCCTGCAGGTCCCCAATAGGCCTCCTCCCGCCTTATTTGGTTCCAGTGTCACTAACTTGCCAGCCACCCACCATGGTGCCTGCCTCCCCTAAGCAAGCATCAGCCTTGGCCTGTAGAGGACACTCAAGGGCTGTGTGAGGCAGAGGGGCCAAGGAGGGATTGTGAGTGGATCTGAGGAGGTGGAGGTGGCTGTCTGCTGTAATCTGCCGAAGGCTTTGCAGCCTGAGTCCCTGGCATCATTGAGATATGGTCTTGGCCAGTGGTTGTGTGGAGCTGTAGGTGGGACTCCAGGTTAGGAGGCTTCACAGCCACCCTGTCCCTCACCCCACAGAATGGCATTGTGCCCATCGTGGAGCCTGAAATCCTCCCTGATGGGGACCATGACTTGAAGCGCTGTCAGTATGTGACTGAGAAGGTAGGTGACTGCCTGCCTGACCAATGCAGGGTGGCTGGGCAGGGGTCCTGGGGCTAACCTGTCCTCCCCTCCACCCTGCTGTGCCCCTACTCTGCTCCAGGTGCTGGCTGCTGTCTACAAGGCTCTGAGCGACCACCACATCTACCTGGAAGGCACCTTGCTGAAGCCCAACATGGTTACCCCAGGCCACGCCTGCACTCAGAAGTTTTCTCATGAGGAGATTGCCATGGCGACTGTCACAGCGCTGCGCCGCACGGTTCCCCCTGCTGTCCCTGGTGAGGCCTACACTCTCATCTTGACATAATAGGCAGTAGATGAGCTCCACCCATGACCCTCTGCCCATTTGGCAGATTTCCATGGCAGCTTCTACCAGCTCCTGCCGGGTTCCTGGGTCTCTGACCACAGCCCTGCCCACCTCTCGCCCCCACTCCACAGGCATCACCTTCCTTTCTGGAGGCCAGAGTGAGGAGGAGGCATCCATCAACCTCAATGCCATCAACAAGTGCCCCCTGCTGAAGCCCTGGGCCCTGACCTTCTCCTACGGCCGAGCCCTGCAGGCCTCTGCCCTGAAGGCCTGGGGTGGGAAGAAGGAAAACAAGAAGGCAGCGCAGGAGGAGTACATCAAGCGCGCCCTGGTAAGGATGTGGGCAGGAGGTGGGCTGGATGCCTGGGTGGGTGGGACTTGGAGAAGAACCCTTCTCATTCCACTCCTCTCCCCGCTTAGGCCAACAGCCTCGCCTGTCAAGGAAAGTACACCCCAAGCGGTCAGGCTGGGGCTGCTGCCAGCGAGTCCCTCTTCATCTCTAACCATGCCTACTAAGCGGAGGTGTTCCCAGGCTGCCCCCAACACTCCAGGCCCCGCCCCCTCCCACACTCTCTTGAAGAGGGGGCCTCTTACTCCGGGGCTCCAGGCTGTCTTGCCCACACTCTTGCCTCCCTTGTGACAGTGATGTGTGGTGTTGTCTGTGTATGCTAACTCCATCGCCCTTTCCAGCACACTGCCAATAAACAGCTATTTAAGGGGGAGTCTGCCATCCGTGTCTTGTAGTGTCTAATGCAGGGGAGGGCCTGGAGAGGCAGCAGAGCCCAGAAGAAAGACCCCCTGTTCTTCGTCCTTCCTTCCTGGGCGAGAAAGGGGCAAAAGGTGAAAGGGCCTTTCTGCTCTGTTTTATGTGCCCAGGGCTTCGAGAAAGGCTGAGAGCTTGTGACATTTTCTTCTAGCCACTATAAGGCTTCTCCCCTTCACCTAGCAGCATCAGATGGGACTCACAGTCAGGGAGTATGGTTGTAACTGCTCATGTCTTACGAAGCTGCAGCCCCAGCCTCACTTTTAGTCCCAGAACTCAAGGAGGCGCAGAAGACCCCTGTGACAAACCTACCAACTAGCTCACTTTCTTGAGTGACATGAGCCAGGCAAGGGGTCTTCTATATAAGCAGGTGCTGTTTTTCTCAACTTATATACCTAAGGCTCTTTTGCTAAAGATTGAATTGCTTCTTGGTGGAAAGGAGTCTTAATGCATATCTTTTTTGGTTTTTTTTTTCTTTTTTCTTGAGACAGTTTCACCCTTGTCACCCAGATGAGTGCAGTGGCACCATCTCGGCCCACTGAAACCTCTGCCTCCCAGGCTCAGTGATTCTTCTACCTCAGCTACTGAGTAGCTGGGATTACAAGCACACACCACTATTGCCTAATTTTTGTATTTTTTAGTTGAGATGAGCCACGGTGCCTACCAATACTTAACTACGCTATTGAGTTTTCTGTTTTCCCATCTTAACAGGAGATGGAATTAGAGAGGGCTTCTTAGTGCCTTTGGGCTGTGGAATCCCATGAAAAACCCTGAATTGTTTGCAGCACCCCCTTGATAATGCAGCTACAGAAGCTCAGCTGTAGAGCTCAGACTTAGGGTCAAGAACTGAGCCCCTACAGCTGCTGCATTCCACGAAGCCAGAATGAGGCCCCCATGCCATTACTTGAGCCCTAATGACCCAGGCTGGGACATACAGTGATTATATCAGCTCTCTGGACCTAGAGAATCTGCACTGATTCAGGTAGAATGGGCTTCCCTAGAACCTTCTAGGAATATAAAAACTTGATCCTAGGTGGGGGGCGATGGCTCAGGCTGTAATCCCAGCACTTTAGGAGGCTGAGGCAGACCGATCATGAGGTCAGGAGTTCAAGACCAGCCTGGCCAATATGGTGAAACCCCATCTCTACTAATAACACAACAGTTAGCAAGGCATGGCGGCATGCACCCACAGTCCCAGCTACTCAAGAGACTGAGGCAGAAGAATCCCTTGAACCTGGAAGGCAGAGGTTGCAGTGAGCCGAGATCTGCACTCCAGCCTCGTGACACAGCGAGACTTCGCCTCAAAATAAATAAATAAAAATAGAGACTAGAGAACCAGAGAACTTCAGATACCGGTTTGGGAGTTTGGAATTTTTTAAATTTTTTTGACACTAAGTCTCACTCTGTGGCCCAGGCTGGAGTGCAGTGGCATGATCTTGGCTCACCAAAACCTCCGCCCCCTGGGATTACAAGTGTACACTATTGCACCAGCTAACTTCTTGTATTTTTAGTAGATGGGGTTTTACCACGTTGGCCAGGCTGTCTTGAACCCCTGACCTCAGGTAATCCATCCATCTTGGACTCCCAAAATGCTAGGATTACAGGGGTGAGCCACCACACTTGGCCTGGATTTCTTAATTTTTATAATCTGAGTTCCCAAAAAAGTAATTGATAGAGGCCGGACAAGGTGGCTCACGCCTGTAATCCTAGCACTTTGGGAGGCTGAGGTGGGTAGATCACCTGAGGACAGGAGTTTAAGACCAGCCTGGCCATCATGGTGAAACCCCATCTTAAAAAAAAAAAAAAAAAAAAAATCAATTGATTAAAAAAAAACAGACCTAAGGACACAACTTTCTTTTTCTTTGAGATGGCATCTTGCTCTGTTGCCCAGGCTGGAGTACAGTGGCACAATCTCAGCTCACGGCAATCTCTGCCTCCCCAGTTCAGTGATTCCAAGTAGCTGGGACTATAATCTTACCACTATGCCCAGCTAATTTTTTTTTTTTTGGCATTTTTACTAGAGAGGGTTTCACCATGTTGGCCAGGCTGGTCTCAAACACCTGACCTCAGGTGATGCACCTGCCTTGGTCTCCCAAAGTGCTGGGATTACAGGTGTGAGCCACCATGCGCAGCCGGGTTCAAATTTCTTATTTATTGTTTGATAGACAGGGTCTCACTCTGTTGCCCAGCCTGGTATTGAACTCCTGGGGTCATTCGATCCTCCTCGGCCTCCCAAAGTGCTGGGATTACATGCTTGAGCCACCACACCTGGCCCCGGATTCAAATTTCAATGTAAAATCCCCAATCCACAGTTATACGAACAATGAGTTACTTAACCTCTCTGAGCCAGTTTCCTTCCTCAAAAAAGGCATAAACCTTTTTTTGTTTTTGAGACGTCTCTATGGCCCAGGCTAGAGTGCAATGGCGTGATCTTGGCTCACTGTAACCTCCGCCTTCCAGGTTCTAGCAATTCTGCCTCAGTCAGCCTCCTGAGTAGCTGGGATTACAGGTGTGCACCACCACGCCTGGCTAATTTTTGTATTTTTAGTAGAGACAGAGTTTCACCATGTTTGTCAGGCTGGTCACGAACTCCTGACCTTATGGTCCACCCACCTCAGCCTTCCAAAGTGCTGGGATTACAGGTGTAAACCACCATGCCTGGCCTAGGCATAAAACTTTCAGGCAACAGAAAGCAACTAAGAAGGTGGGCACGGTGGCTCAAGCCTGTAATCCCAGCACTTTGGGAGGCTGACGCAGGGAGATCACCTGAGGTCATAAGTTGGAGACCAGCCTCAAGACCAGTGTGGCCAACATGATGAAACCCTGTATCTAGTAAAACTACAAAAATTGGCCAGGCATGGTGGCTCATGCCTCTAATCCCAGCATTCGGAGGCCGAGGCAGGTAGATCACCTGAGGTCAGGAGTTTGAAACCAGCCTGGCTAACATGGTGAAACCTCGTCTCTACTAAAAAGACAAAAATTAGCTGGGTGTGGTGGCAGATGCCTGTAATTCTAGCTACTCAGAAGGCTGAGGCAGGAGAATCACTTGAAGCCAGGAGGTGGAGGTTACAGTGGGCTGAAATCACGCCATTGCCCTCCAGCCTTGGGCAACAAGAGCAAGACTCCATCTTAAAAAATAAATAAATAGTAAAAACACAAAAATTAGCCGGGCATGGTGGCACATGCCTGTAATCCCAGCTACTCAGGAGGCTGAGGCAGGAGAATTGCTTGAACTTGGGAGGTGGAGATTGTAGTAAGTCGAGATTGTACCACTGCACTCCAGTCTGGGCAAAAGAGTGAGACTGTCTCGAAAAAAAAAAAAGAAAGAAAGAAAAAGCAACTAAGAAATGTTAAGGGGAACATTTTGGAATCACAGAAATCATGCTGACTGAGATACAGGCTTGGCATAGGAAAGGTGGACTCCAATTTGTTAACTTCTGAAGCTGTCAATGGCAAAGATTTCTCTGAAGGCACCGGAAGAGATTTGAATTGGGCTTCCTTCATCCATTGAACAAGTATTAAGTATTTCTATGTATTAACAAGTATTTCTAAATGCTTACCATGCCAGGCCTTATTCTAAGCACTGGGGCTTCAATATTGAAAAAGACAAAGTTGGATCCTCCAAGGATTGTGGTGTCGGATAAATAACAAAAATGTGTAACTTAAAAAAGTGTAACATAAAGTTACAAGGCCTAGTCCCAGCTCGACTTGTTTCCCTAGCTGAAATGGGGATGACCAGGCGTGGTGACTGAGGCCTGTAATCCAAGCACTTTGGGGGGCCGAAGAGGGAGGATCGCTTGAGCCCAGGAGTTCGAGATTGAAGTTAGCTATGATCGCCCCACTGGACTCCAGCCTGAGCAAGAGAGCAAGACACTATCTCTAATTTAGAAAAAAATAAAAGTTGTGGCCGGTCGCAGTGGTTCACGCGCCCATGAACCCAAAGTAATCCCAGCACTTTGGGAGGCCTAAGCGGAAGGATCACCTGAGGTCAAGAGGTTGAGACCAGCCTAACCAATGTGGAGAAACCCTGTCTCTACTAAAAATACAAAACTAGGCCGGGCATAGTGGCTCACGCCTGTAATCCAAGCACTTTGGAGGCCAAGGCGGGAGGATCACCTGAGGTCGGGAGTTCAGGACCAGCCTGACCAATATGGTGAAACCCCGTCTTAAAAAAAAAAAAGAAAACTAGCCAGGCGTGGTGGCACACATGCCTGTAATCCCAGCTACTCGGGAGGCTGAGGCAGGAGAATCGCTTGAACCCGGGAGGCGGAAGTTGCGGTGAACCTAGATCGCGCCATTGTACTCCAACCTGGGCAACAAGGGCCAAACTCCGTCTCAAAAAGAAAAAAGAAAGTTGTCTAAATTTAAACATTTTTATAAAATGAAATGGGAGGGGACTGGTCTAGGGTTTCTAACAGCCCAACATCACCTGCGGCTGAGCCCACAAACACTTCCGCTGGCCTCCAGCTGCCACCGGATTACTCCCGCTCCTTCCCGATTTCAGACTTGGGAAGTGGTGCCGGGGGCGCGAGGAGGGAGGGTGAGGAGCGTGTATGACGCCACATCCGGCGCGCGGCGGAACTGGCTTCCCTTTGCTTCCGCGGCGGGGCCGGAAGTAGAGGCGGCGGCGGCGGCGGCCCAAAGCGGAGGGAAGTCGGGAGGCAGGAAGCGCCCCATAGCCGGAACCGGAGTCGCAGCGGCGGTAATAATGCGAGACCCCTCTAGGCCACCGTCCTTAGCGCGAACCGTGGGATTCGACGGGAGTTAGTGGGGGTCCGGCCAGGCCGTGGGACGCTGGGGGGGTCCCGGGGCCGATGTGAAGGGAGGCGGGGGTGGGGGTGGGGCCGGGCTGGCCCTAGAATCCAGTTGTCCGCTCCTCGCCCCTCACGGACACTCTAATCCGCGGGCTTGTCTTGGCCTTTCCCAGGAGACCCCTGTGCGGTGCGGAGGGGGCGGTGGCCCCGACTCTGACCCGCGCCGGGGGGTGGGCCATGGCGGAGATCAGCGACCTGGACCGGCAGATCGAGCAGCTGCGTCGCTGCGAGCTCATCAAGGAGAGCGAAGTCAAGGCCCTGTGCGCTAAGGCCAGGTGAGCCCGTTGGCCCCACGGAAGGGAGGCCAAGCCGCCGCCCACGGGTTCTGGCCTGGGGCAAACCCAACTGAGAATTTTGGGCTTGCCCCTTCCTGGAAGCTTTCCCAGAGAGGAACGGGATGGGGCCACTGCGCTCGAGGAAGAGCTAGCCTGCTGGGGGAAGACAGCTGGATAAAGACACTTAAAGTATTAGAAGATGTGTTTCCAGTGGAGTAAGAGTGTTACGTAAAGTACTTAGGAAACCAAGGGAAACAAGCCCATCTGTCTGGGGGACAGAAGCTTCTGGGGGTGGGTGGCGAACTGTGAGACAGGCCTCGAATAAGGAGTTGGTAAAAGAGTCAGCAACAAAACAAAGGTTTAAGACAGGAAGGTTAAAGACGCTGTGATTTATAAAAGTCTGAATTCCAACAACCACCCATAAAGGTTGGCGTATTGTACTCATTTTACAGGTGAGGACTGTCATGTTCAAAGTTACCCACAAGTAAGGAGTGGAGTCTGAAGCCAGTTCTTAGTGTCCTGTCCTTTTTCAGGCCATAATGCAAGAAGGTGGATTTGGATCACTCACATTCAGGATGGGACCCTGAGAAATCGTAGCAAGTAAGCCAGGATAGAATTAAGCATGATATGGCCGGGCGTGGTGGCTCACGCCTATAATCCCAGCACTTTGGGAGGCCGAGGCAGGTGGATCACGAGGTCAAGAGATTGAGACCATCCTGGTCAACAAGATGAAACCCCGTCTCTACTAAAAATACAAACATTGGCTGGGCATGGTGGTGTGCACGCCTGTAGTCCCAGCTACTCGGGAGGCTGAGGCAGGAGAATTGCTTGAACCCAGGAGGCGGAGGTTGCAGTGAGCCGAGATCGTGCCATTGCACTCCAGTCTGGGTAACAACAGTGAAACTCCATCTCAAAAAAAAAAAAAAAAGAATTAAGCATGATAGGAAGGCCAGTTTAAAGTTCTGTGGGAAGTAGGATGACCTAAGGCTCTAGGTTTTGGAGTGTGAGATGGCTCTAGGTTTGAATCTGAACTCTGCCACTTACTAGTTGTGTTAGTGATCTTAAGGTGTCTTTACTTGCAAAGCAGAGTTAATAGTACTTAATAAGATGGTTGTGAAAATTCAGTGAGTTGCTGCTTAAGTTTAGCACAGTGTCTTGGTACAGCATACATGCTTGATAGTCACTAGGTGTTCTATTTCTCTTGGATGAGGGCAACGATGAGATGGGCTAAAGCCATCAGGGAAGGCTACTAAATAGAGGTAGACCTTGAAGGATGAAGATAATTTGGCTAGCTGACAGGCAGGACCAGTGAGGGAAGGGCATTCCAAGCAGGACAAGTGTAGCATTGGAGGCCCTGAGAGTGTGAGGAACAGTCAGGGGTTTAATTAATTACCTGCCTTCTCTGGGGAACTGTGTGATTGTGACTTCTACCAGGCTGGTGAATTGCGGCAGAAGAGCCCGCAGAATTACCCTATGTTTATTGAACTATACACCCACTATTGGCCTGGCCCTGTACTGGCGAAAAAACGTCTATTCGTCTCTTCCTCCCAGCAATCCTGAGAGGTTGGAATCATTTGCTCCATTTTACCGAATAGGAAACCATGACTCGTAGAGGCCTGGTGACTTGACTGAGGTCACCCACTGAGGACATGGCAGAGCTCAGTTCTGAATCTGTGGCCCCCAGGCTTTTTGCTCGGCCCCACCTCACAGACTCCCTGCAGCCAGACAGGGCCTCTGAGGGGATCGTGAGCAGGGTGGGCCTCTTTTTCACCCTGTCTGTGGCTTTTCTCTTTTGCCAGCTGAAGGAAACGTCCCTGACCAGACCTGCCCCACCGTGTTTTTAATTGTCCCCTCTCCCTCAGTCCTGATGGGCATTTTTAGGAACTTAAACCTGTTGTTGTCTGGCACTATTCTTTTCCTCTGAAGTCTTATCTCCTGCGCAGGCCTTGGATCAGTGTGGTGGCGATGGTAGATAATGCTTGGATAGCATGCTGGAGTTTGCAGAATAGGAGGAAGTTATATATTCAGTCTCCATGGCTCCTTGTAACAGCCTAAGGAGTAGGCATGACGGGGCTGAGTACTTAACCCCATTTCGTGGAAGAAGAAACAGCCTCTGAGTAGATAATGTCTTGTCCAACATCGTGCAGCTAGTTGGAGGGGAAGTTAGTTGTGCATGCAGGTTTTTGACTGTGCTCTGTGGTCACTGAGAGCCAGGCGGAGGCATTTAGATTTTCATATGGGGTGTGAGGCAGCAGAGAGCTGTGGAAGGCTAACGGGTGGAGAGTCCTGCCCAGTTGAAACTGAGTGGAGCTAGGAGGTACTAGGCCAAGGCCTGAGTTGGTCACTGTTGTCCTGGGCTCAGTTCTGAAGTGGGGCCAGCTCTGATACCTGACCAAGGCCTCCTGAGGACCCACCAGAGACCCAGGCTGAGGCAGGTAGTGTTAGGAGCACCTGCTTGCCCACAGGGCACAGACATGTAGATGAAACCCATGGAAGCACAGAGGCCTGCAGTGTCTGAGCTGAAGTTGCTGCTACTAGAAATATTAGTACAGTAGAAGAGCTGAGCTTTTGAATCAGGTGGTCTTCAGTATGGATCTGTGCCTTGTCACCTAGAAGCAGTATGACCCTGGTCAAGTCACTTTCTCATTTTTTGAAATGATAATGACAGCCAGGTGCCATGGCTCATGCCTGTAATCCTAGCATTTAGGAATGTCGAGGCAGGCAGATCACAAAGTCAGGAGATTGAGACCATCCTGGCTAACATGGTGAAACCTCGTCTCGACTAAAAATACAAAAAATTAGCAAGCGTGGTGGCACATGCCTCTAGTCTGAGCTATTCGGGAGGCTGAGGCAGGAGAATCACATGAACTCAGGACGTGGAGGTTGCAATGAGCCAAGATTGTGCCACTGCACCCCAGCCTGGCGACAGAACGAGACTCCATCTCAAAAAAACAGAAAAAAATTATACTGACATGCAGTTGAGAGTCTAGGTATCCGGGCACAGGGCTTGCTGTGCTGGTAGCTGTTACTACAGGCAGGTCATGATAGGGCTGGTGACGTGTGCAAGTGACAGCACTGGGACCGATTCCCAGGCCACACTGGGGCCATGCTGGCATTGAAGGGGGCTTTGCTGAGAGCATGGGCCTTGCATGTGACCTTTCTGGGTTTCAGGTTTTCACGCAGGGACTGCGGAAGGGGCTGGCATCAATTCTCAGGAAATTGGGCTTCTGGGTTCCAGTGTAGCCACTCTCCAGTTTGGTGACCTTGACCCTGTCGCTTTTCTCTAAGCTTCGGTTTCTTTACTGTTACATGAGGCTGAAGAGAACCTCCTTAGTCTGTTGGAAAGGTCACCATGAGCAGGTGACAAGAAAGGATGTTCAGCACAAGAAGCAGTGCAGGCGTAAGAGCCCGGGTGCTGGTATGGCCTCTTGCCAGTGCCGCCTCCCATTCCCAGAAAGCCAGGGCAGACCTCCTTCATGCTGCCTGTGCCATACAGAGCAGGGGGCATAAGTGAATCCTCCTGTCCACTGAGCTCAGGAAATTCAGTCTGAGGGAAGAGATTGGCAGAAAGGCAGGACAGCTAAGTGAGTTGGGCCTCCCACATCAGAATATCTTGATAAAGAGTCAGACTCCAGAGCCAGGCTTCTCTGGTAAATCCCACCTGTGTAACTGGCACCAAGCCAGCCCCCTCCTGTGCTTCACTTTGTTCATCTGAGCACTGGGGTACCTGCCTACCAAGCTCTTAATAACATTCCTGGCACATGGTATGAGCTCAAATGTTTACTGCTGCTATTATCACACAAAATTTGGAAATAAAATGCTGCCTAAATTGGATGTCTGTAGACCGGGTGCAGTGGCTCATGCTTGTAATCCCAGCACTTTGGGAGGCCAAGGCGGGTGGATTATTTGAGGTCAGGAATTCAAGACCAGCCTGGGCAACAGCGAAATTCCATCTCTACTAAAAACGCAAAAATCAGCTGGGTGTCATCTCAAAAAAAAAATTGGGTGTCTGTAACTGACAAAGTGATTTCATCTGCTCACTCAAGTAGAAGCAGACTGTACAGCAAGGAGAAGTGAAAAATATTTAAGTCTTCACGGTCCGTAAAGGTAATATTGAACACTTGACAAAAGCAGGTAATTTTGAAGGCATATCCACTGGCAGGCCTGCCCTGGGCACCTGCCCTTGTGTCTGGACAGCCTGGGAGAATCTGATTGCTGGAGAGTGATTCAAGCACTTGCTGAGGGCGCCGGGAGCAGGGAGCTCTGCTGCGGAGAGGATGGGAAGACCCGCCTCCCAGGAGTGAGTCCTAGATGTGGAAAAGGGAACAGCAACAGGGGTCAGGACTGGAAAAGTCCCAGCCTGCTCAGAAGGCCTTGAATGCTGGGATGAGAGCTTGGACTTTGTCCTTTTGGCAGCAGGGAGCCACGGAAAAGTGTTGCATGCTGGAGGGCCGTGGTCAGCCTGTTCTGGGGAGACTGT